TCGCTAATGCGATCGCATTGTGATGTTTTCATGGGTAAAACATCGCATTGCGATGATTGGTAAGCTTTTCGCTTACCGATCTTTGCATTGCGATGTTTTTTAAACAGCTGATCAGCGGTTCCAAAATGCCCGCCAGGTGCCTAAAATTGGCGCCGCAAGTGTTTTCGCACCCTGCCCTCTCTTACCAAGGGCGCGAAAATGGCGGCGCTATGGAGGAACTTTGCTCAACGGTGAGTTTGGGAGCCATAGGAACATATGGCTTTTTCCGTTCCGTTTAGCGATGTTTCTGCATAGCGACGATTAATCTGGAATGGATTAACGTCGCTATGCGGGGCACCACTGTATGATCTATTGGTTATTGAAGTCAAATGCCAGTTTATGTAAGGGAAGGTTTCTCCAGAACAAGATGGGATGTGGCCTGCAGGCAAACATGTGGCTTGTGGAGGAAGGTAATATATTCTTCCTGTATATATGTGTATGGAAGAAAGCCCTCCGTTCATGGAAGAGGTTCAACAGATTAATGTGTAAAGGGGTCACAAGATGTTGGAAGAATAAGGAGAATGATAACTGCCCATCTTTGAAATTAATAATATGTATCACGGAAGTAAACTAAAGCTTGGTTTGTGTAGCAGTTTTGAATTATAGGGTTCTAAACCTAACTCTGGCTATGGTATTGGTAGAACGGGATGTAGCAGAAGTGAGAGTGGAGAAATCTTCATTCCTACTCCAGTCTTTCCTGCACCCCAGAAACTTGTTTTGGAGACTGGTAAACCCTATGGAGTTGATTTGCGGGCAGCTCTAGGAACTAAAAACAGGGAAGTAAAGGAATATATGTTGTACTAATGTTGTAGTATCAGCACCATGTTGGAATTAGGTAATCATATTTTATAGGAAGTGTCTGAAATCCTGTTGCTTAACATAGTATGTTACAGCTACTCACCAAATCCCCACTGGTTCAATAGATCCAGCTGTGTCTTACTATGCTAAGCAACAGGATTTCAACCATTAAAAGAGTCATAGCTGCATTAAAGGTAAAGGTTCCAGTCATGTCTGACTCTAGGGTGTGGTGCTCATCCCCGTCTCCAAGCTGTAGAGTCAGCGTTTGTCCATTGACAGTTTCCATGGTCATGTGGCCAGCATGACTAGATACGGAACGCCGTTACCTTCCCACCGTGGTGGTACCTATTTATCTACTTGCATTCTTGCATTTACATGCTTTCGAACTGCGAGCTTGGCAGGAGCTGGGACAAGCAATGGGAGCTCACTCCATCGCATGGATTCAATCTTACGATGGCTGGTCTTCTGACCTTGCCGCACAGAGGCTTCTGCGGTTTAACCCGCAGCACCACCACGTCCCTTCAGCTGCATTATCTGCAAACAATTCTGTTTAACTCTTTGAATGAAAAGTGTCCTAAGTGATCGGACGGGGTAACATCCCATGGCATTATAAATTAAAGTGGTAACTAAGTGGGGAAGACAGATGGTTTGCAAGGTTTTGAGCTCCTAATTATGGATAAAATAGCTCAACGGAGTTTGTGACAGATCAATCTGATACTGATTATCTTTTTTCCATGGCATAGTGGATTCTTGACATCTACCATGCTAACGAGGATAGTTTTACAGCAGTTCAGACAGCCAAATATAGAGTGACACATCTATCAGCATGAAATGTAGGACTGCCCGGTGTGGCAGATGTATCCAGATAGGTCTGTATTCTTTAATTATCTTGGTGTTCTTTTAGCTTTCAATTTCCTTGAAGGTTTTGTAATTGTTGCAAGATGGTCTGCTTGCTGGACTCATGTTTTACACTCATGTTTTACACTCACTGCATTCTTTTGCAAGTTTATGATAGTTCTTATTTAACATATGAAAAAATTAAGTATTTAAAAATAATTCATTAACAATGGGCATGCAGTACTTTTCCCAATGAGTGTGTGTTTCTGTGTGTCATTTTATGTGTGCATCTTGTATTCCTCCCTTTAGAGTTGACTTAGGTTGGTGCTGAGAACAGAATGGCTCAAATTGTGTTTGTGTGGAATAAGTTGATGATGTCGTTAACTTGTGCTAAAATTTATGTTAAATTAATTAAATTTTCTCTCTCACACACACACACACACAGAGAGAGAGAGAGAGAGAGAGAGAGAGAGAGAGAGAGAGAGAGAGAGAGAGAGAGAGAGAGAGAGAGAGAGAGAGAGAGAGAGAGAGAGAGAGAGAGAGATGGTTTCTGGTTCTGAGGCTCCCTAGTGCTCTCCTTTGCCCCAGGAAAGATTTTGGGTGCTTTGGACTAGGTGGGGAGAGCCTTTAATCACCAAAAATAGCTTCCAGATCACTGCCACCAGTATTGGGACCTTTAGTGGTGATCCAACAGAAATGGTTGTCAAACAAAACACACACACACACACACACACACACACACACACACACACACACACACACACACACACACACCTCTACCTTGCTCCCAAAGGCTTTCCCAGGGCAAAAGAAAGCACTAGGCAGCCTCAGAACCTAAAAGAGAGAGATCAGAGGCATTTAACTAATTTAAAATAAATTTTAGTGGTGCTAAAATTTATTTTAGCACCACTAAAATTCAGCCTTCATTATACAAAGAAGATTTGTGCCAATGTCTCATTCCCATATAATGCATCCTGTACAAAACCTCCCTATTTGGGCCATGTGGGAATTCATCAGGTATTTTAGGTATGTATTAGCTAGTTTCGAAAAACTATGAGTTTTTAAAACTTGGGTGGGTTTATCATGGTCCTAATTTTAAGTTTTCAGGATCTCTGGTATTCTTCCAAGCTTTTTTACTTGCTGGGAAAGTAACAGCTGCAGATTTTAAAAATTAGATAATAAAGTTGCCATGCGTTGAGGGAGACTGAATAGTCCAGCGGTTTCTGGATGTCTGCAAGCATGTACCTCTAAATTATTGCAGTCTCACCTAATTATCTCTTTTGGTGTACATCCTTGGACTACAAGGTGATCAGCTCCCACATGGTCATTTTCAACTGGCAAAAAGAAAAAAGCCCACTTTCTATTGACTGAAATCTTCCTACAACAGCCTCCTGACTTGGCTAGGGAATGTTCTTCTGTAATACTCTGGGACCCAGTGTCACTTATGGTATAATTTTAAAGCAATCACAGTTTTAAAGAGACAATATTAAAACACGATTAAGTTAGTTATATCAAAACAGAACTGCCAAAATCCTGGTTATTTTTCCCCCATGGGCACCATGGCCCATTGCACATGCACATGTCTTTATTCTGCCCATTGCTCAAGCGTGTGGAAGCCCCACTGTTTCCAGCAGGGTTTCTTGCTAGCCTAACTGCAAACTGGAGAGCTTCAGATAAAATATGGAGCAGTTATGCTCTGTGATTGCTAATGCAATTCTCCCCGTAGCAGTTAAAAACCATTAAAAACCTCTCGGTTAAAAATAATAACTACATTTAATAACAGAAAAGTGCAGCACACCCTTGAAAGCCAATTTATTGCCAGAGGTCTGCCTAAATAGGAAGGGTTTCAGGTGCCAGATTCTACGGAGTCCCGTCAAGTATGAGAGTCCAGACAGCTCTACTAACTTCAGTTAGTTTAATTAGTTAATATAATTGTCTGTGATCCTCCTTGAGCCTTATGGAGTTGATTACACGTGAGAAAGAATTGGGTTGGGGTATATATGAAGTGATGTAGGAAGCTAAAATCTCATAATCGTGGCTGTAATATGTCACAATTAATTCCTTCTGAGTTCCTGATCAACTACCAGTATATGATACCAAACACAATTATGTTTTTCTCTAAATTCATGGTTACCCCATAGGCAAGCCTTTGGCTTTCAATTACACACACATAATTAGGCGAATAAAAGATTGTTGGGGGGGAGGGAAGATCTTATCAACTGATTCCAGAAAGTTATAAGTGGGTGTAATAATCCATTATTTTGTATCCTGTGGCTATTGCAGCCATTAGTTTGAAGCTCTGGGATTTTTTAAGGAAATGTCATAATTAAAAATGGGCAACTGAAAAATGAGACATATTTATCTCTTAGTTTTACAAACAGGCAATTAATTTGTTTAAATTATAGTTGGATCTAGCACCACGACTTATTTATAGCATAAATGAGGATTTATTGCTTTGCTTTCAGCGATATAGCACTGGCCAAGTTTAGCCACTCCATATTATGTTTCTATGATTATTATGGCTGTTTGGTAGAATGATTAATGGGAATGGAGTGTGGGGAGATCTCGAAGGTGTTATTTTATTGTATTTTAGATTTATAACACACTTTATCCACATTGGCTCGGGTTTAGGGTTATAACAACCTTATAAAACAAACTTGAAACTATTAGAAAGGCCTACAAAAATAACTCTTACCTTTCCCTAGGCGCCAAAAGTTCTTCTGTAGAATTGGATTGGTGGTTTAATAAATATACTGCTCTTTCTAATTCTTAGTGTATTGCTTAGACATCTTAGAGTCTTTCACCTTAGGAAAAATGGGTGAGTAAAGGGAGACATGCTAGAGAGATGGATAAAATATATGGTTCAGGGAAGATGAACAGGGACAGAGTTTTCTCCCTTTCCTACAATATTAGAACTCAGAGTCATCAAATAAGGCTAAATAGTAAGGAATTCAGAACAGACATAGTACAGAGCATATCAATAAATTATGGAATGTGCTACCATGGAATTTAGGGATGTGGTGGCGCTGCGGGTTAAACTGCAGAAGCCTCTGTGCTGCAGAGTCAGAAGACCAACAGTCATAAGATCGAATCCATGTGATGGAGTGAGCTCCCGTCGCTTGTCCCAGCTCCTGCCAACCTAGCAGTTCAAAAGCATGTAAACATGAGTAGATAAATAGGTTATCCAAAGTAATCCATTCTTTAATCAAGGCCAGTACACATGCCCTATAATAGGTATCCCAGTCTGTAAGACCAAAACCCGTTCTTTGTTTTGAATCTTGTAATGCCTTCACTTTAATTCTCTTTTTTTCCATTTTTTATTACAGTCCTGAAGAAGTAAAAATTCTCTATTTTTAATAACTTTCCTGAAGAAGTGTTTGCTTTAACATCACTGATACTGTCTGAAAGAGAAAGATCAGATCAGTTCAGGTAACGCATTCATTTTAATTACTGCTATTCTTGCCATCAATGAAAGTTGTAGTTTATCCCAGTTGTCCAAATCTCTCTTCCTTTAAAATTTTCATATAATTGTCTTTTATTAATGTGCTTGTCTTGTTTGTTATTTGGATTCCCAAATATTTAATTCTTTTTTCCTCTTGGAAGCCTGTTGTGTCTATCAATTTGTGATTCTCATCTGTTCGAATATTTTTGCCTAAAATTTTTGTTTCCTGTTTATTCACTTTCATTCCTACCATATCCCCAAAGTTTATTAGTGTTTCCATCAGTTCATCAATAGATTTACTGAGTTCTTCCAAAATAAAAACTAAATAATCGCCACCTTCCTTTCTTCCTTGAAAACGGGTTTATACTGTCCCCATCTTCTTCTTTGGATTTCAAGGTGGAATGCAGTAAATAATTGTAGGAAAAATAAATATAAGAATAAAACAGCTAGTGTGATTCTTACAAAATTATTTCCAAAAGTAGAAGTACCCAGATGAAAAAGAAATGAAAGAGTTTGCTGAGACCTAAAAGGTTATTGAATGGGCACTAAGCAAATGCCTCTAACAAAAACATTCCATAGCCAAAATGCCACCAGTATGAAAGACCCCCAACCTTCACAGAAAGTATGTGACTGACCTCATCTGTTTAGTTATAACAGGCACAAGCAGAACAGCTGAAATCCACTAGTAGGTTGCAACTAGAGTAAGCCCATTTAATCAGTGGAAGTTGTAGAGGAGTTGATTCACCAAATCCTTACTGATTCCATGAGCCTTCCTACTACTGGATTTAAAGCCACTGTCTGTTATCTCTCATAGAAGCATAGAAAAGTGAAGTTGGAAGGGGCATACAAGGCCATCAAGTCCGGGACTCAATGCAGCAGGAATCTCGAAGTCATTTCCGCATAGAGCTAGGAGAAGTTGCTTTTTGGACCACAATTCCCAGAATTCCCTAGCTAGCATGTTGACTAATGTCGACTAATTCTGGATACAATCCATGTGAATAACTTGGGTGTTTCAGACATTATGCTGAAAAGGTTATAGAGTGGGCACCAAGACCCATGTTGGTTGGACACTGCAGCTCAAAAAAGGAACTTTTCCAAATACTTTTTCTTAGTTGTTGTTTTGGTTTGCGTGTTCCTTTCTGTGACATATGCTCGTAGCTTCTGCCGCCCCCTGTCCTGCCTTGCCCTCTCACCCTTCTCTTGCGCTGTCTTTTCCCTCCCCGTTGTTTCTTACCTTTGGAGCCCATGTCCTGATGTCACGTGATTGTCTAATATCTTTGATGTGACTTTCTCTCCAAGTGAGCTTTCCTAACTGTGGCCCTTATAGCCCTGCCTTCAGTGTCCTTCCACACCTACTTCTAAAAACAATCCTTCCCCACATCTCAGTTCAGTGAAGTTTTCAGCTTTGTTAGAGTTCCCCGCCTATGTGACAGGTGGTGAAAATGTCTCATTTGGTGTGCTGACAACAGGAACAAGAATTATGCTGCAGTATATTTTTATTTCTTCTAGCTTATAATTATGTCTCATTATAATTTTATTTCCATCCAGCATGTAAAGTAAGCTAAACTTAATTCATTCATAATACAGATTTAGTAATGTCACCCAATGCATGCTGACTGTTGCTCCTCAGTCACTACAAAAATTACCTTGGGTCAAACATGACTCTGAGAACCATGTATTTCGGGGCATTTATTTTACCCAGCCAGCATAATGTCTGAAACACCCAGGTTGCTCACATGGATTGGATCCAGACTCAAAGTACTGTAGACCCATTGGGATCGAGACTTAAATTAGTCAACTAATTTAAGTGCAATTGATTACAGTGGGTCTTCTCAAAATATGGCTAAATTTTAATCTGGTTGAGCATAGAAAAGTGAAGTTAATGGTGGGGGTTTGTGTGTGTGTGTGTGTGTCTGTGTGTGTGTGTGTGTCTGTGTCTGTGTTTTGTTTGTGTCAAAGTACTGTAGACCCATTGGGATCGAGACTTAAATTAGTCAACTAATTTAAGTGCAATTGATTACAGTGGGTCTTCTCAAAATATGGCTAAATTTTAATCTGGTTGAGCATAGAAAAGTGAAGTTAATGGTGGGGGTTTGTGTGTGTGTGTGTGTGTCTGTGTGTGTGTCTGTGTCTGTGTCTGTGTTTTGTTTGTATGTGTTTTGTATTTTTGTGTTTTTGCTGTTAATTTTCTGATTAGCTTTTTGGAACATTGTGATATAGCAGGCTTCCCCAATGAACCGAGTTCCACATATGTTGGTCCTTACAGTTTATGGGAGTTAGTGTGCCGTACATCTGGAGGGCAACAGGTTGGAGAAGGCAAGGGTGTAGCAACGTGACAGCAGAACTCAATACACTGAGCAAGATGATGCTTTGTCACTGTTCAGTTACAAATGGCTTCAGCATATCATTCAATTCACGTTCTTCTTAAGATTAAAGTTCAAGCTTTGCTCATCAGCATGATTGTATCGGTCAGTTTTAGGAATACTTTATGCCAGAAAAGCAGTAGTGGATGGTCAGATTTGGATCTAAGATGGTCCACAGTTTGGTTACAGATGTTGTATTTTGTTTATCAGCAGCTGTCATTTCATATGTGGTACTGAACTTAATGCAATTAGGAGGCCCCAAACTATAGTCATGATTGGACTTGCTCACATTTTTGGATTGTGTAGACATGGTTCCTATCAACTGTAAATCGAACAGGCAAATCTGCAGTAACCAGACATAAATAATAAACCAGCATATAATTAGGTATGCTTTAAAACAAAATGACTGAAAACTGTTGCTCAGCATAGTAAGTCACACTAGAATAGGCCCATTGCAGAATTGAGGATTTGGTGACCCAGCTCCTCTTGTAAATTCTGTTAATTCACGTGGCTTTACTCTAGTTGTAACTAGAGATGGAATATCCCCGCACAGGTGACAATAACGAGGGTCCAGCCCCATGGGGCTGGACGGTACACTCACCAATCTGACGCTGACGGCGTGATTCTATGAATGGCTCTGCAGTGCGCAATCCGCTTGGCACTCCTGGCAGGAGTGGATCACGCTCTGCGGAGCCATTCATAGAACTGCGCCTTCCGCAGTGGATCGGTGAGTGCACCGTCCGGCCCCATGGGGCTGGACCCTCGTTAACGCCACCTGTGCGGGGATATTCATATACGAATATGAATACCCCCATCTCTAGTTGTAACTTACTACTCTAAGCAACAGGGTTTCAGCCAGCATGTCTTTGCTGCACAGTTACATCACTTTGATTCAGTTTTAGCTATGACCTGTGGAATCTTGGGATTTGTAGTTTGCTTCTCAAGAAAGTGAGCTAGAACTCTGGCAGAGAAAAGTACCTCGGCAATTTATACATGGGAAGGAGTCACAGCTGCTAAAGTGACATCAAATTGCTATAACATGTAGTATGGATAATACTAAAAGCAAGGCAGGGTATAAATGTGATAATTAAATAACAGTTGGAATAAATGAGTTGAGACTGTGATCCTAAGCACAGTCATTGTAGACACAATGGCATGACTTAACTCTTGACAGACAAATGTGCATAGGATTGAACATAAACACACTCTCATGATAGGGAGAAAGAGACTGAAGAACAGTACTTTAAAAATCTGTAGAAACTTCTGAGAAAAATTAACTTAAAAAAATTGTAAAGGCTTCAAATATTATTTTAAAATTGTTCCCCAAAATGCTTCAGCTATAGTTTTCTTTTTTAAAATTTTTTCAAAAACAAATCTGACATACTACCATAATTTTTTGAACTCAGAAGGTAATATGCCAGTTTTAAAGTTACATTCGAGTTAAATCATCTTGTCTCTATTTCATGGTTTGCTGCAGGAAGCATCAGTTTAAGATTTCAGCAAAGTAGAGGCACCAACTGTTTATTAAAAGAGTTTTGAAAAACTACCAAAATGTTATGCCAAAGCTACAGTACTTCGCATTCTGCTAATACTGGGTAATTCTTACTGGCATGTATCTGCTTGAAAGAGTGTAATGTATTATAAGTGTTTGTGTTGGTGAATTTAAAAGAGGTATCACAAGAACATGTAATGTACATTTTAAATGGTGCTTCTTGTGCAGCATTAAATTATGCTGGCCTTGTAGTAAACCCTGGGCTGCTGTTTTTCTCAGAGACTTGAAAAAATGATTTACAATTGCATTTGTGTTTCAGATCTTGTTTGAAAGCATCATTGTTATCTGGTGACTGTCTGCTGACATTTAACTTATGGCTGGCAATTAAAATGTACCATGTGCGCAACTGAAGGAGAATGTTTCATTGCTTCAACAGGGTGAAGATGTTCTGCTTCCCAAGCTGTACATTGAAGTTGGTAAAATGTTCAGGACCACTGCGAAGGTTACTGTCTGAAGCTCATACCAACTTACCAGTGTTAACCTTGTTCACCAAGGTACATAGTAATGTACTGAATAACTCAGACAGATTGATCTCAAATGCACACCATTCAGAAATGTTAGGTTTTGGACTATATCACTGGAGAATCCCCCAATCAGAGCAGCCTGGTTGGGATATTTGGAGAACTGTATTGGAAAAAAAAAGTATCCAGAAATCTGAAAATGTATTTTTTTTTAAATGACACTTTAATCTCCAGAACTAGTCCTGTCGCATAGTTTTAGCAGGAAGAGGATTGAGATTAGAGAATGGGGTATTCGTATACGAATACAAATATCTCTGCACAGGTGGTGATAATGAGGGTCCCGCTCCATGGGGCCGGACGGTCCACTCACCGATCCACCGCTGCCACGGATGCTGCAATTCTACCAATGGCTCTGCAGATCGCAGTCTGCAAGCCACTCTTCAACGTTGTAGCAAGGCTTGTTCTCACGTCTCCTGCCAGGAGTGGCTAGCCAATCGTGATCTGCAGAGCCATTGGAAGAATCACTGCGTCCACGGCAGCAGCGGATGAGTGAGTGGACCGTCCGGCCCCATGGGGCTGGACCCTCATTATCACCACCTGTGTGGGGGATATTTGTATTTGTATACAAATACAAATACCCCCCATCTCTAATTGAGATCCCTGTCAGTAGGAGGGGGAACTGTGTGGCTTGCCAGAGCAAAGTCAAGCCAATAATAGCCACGTTTGGGCTGGCCCTACCGTTAGGCAAACTGATGAGACAGTTCCTTCATTCGGCACATTCTGGGTGCCATGACAGGGCAACAGATGGTTAGCTATTTGTATTGTTGTTTCTGTACTTCTGTACTTGAATAAGGGAAGGGGCAGGAACATAAGATTTTCCTGGATGCCAAAATAATGGAGTTGTCCTTGGGAATTACATGTAATTACTTAGGTAGGTTGAAGTTACCTTTCCCCACATGTCCTGAACCCGAAATCTGTGTTTCCAGAATACTCTCACAAGAAACAGTTGACATGTATCCTTTTATTAGACAGAAGATTAGATAGCACAAGACTCCCAGAACTGTTTTTAAAGCAAGAGGTTCATGTCATGTCATGAGGAACTTTACCTATTTGCAGGTTTACAGTATTTTTACACCTGAGCTTCCTAGCTCTTTGAAGCCCTTCTTATGAGTACAGTGGGGTCTCGACCTACGGAATTAATCCGTATTGGAATGCGGTTCGTAGGTCGAAAAGTCCGCAGGTTGAAAATGCATTCCCCATAGGAAGGCATTGAAAACCAATTAATTCATAATCTGCCCAAGAAACAAACCCCCCACGCACAAACAAAATTAAAATAAATGTAAAAAAATTTAAACTTACCTTTTCAAAGCCTTCCAGGGTCCCCCACCGCCATCATCATCGCTGCCGGCTCGGCTCCCAGCAGCAGCGACGGTGGCGGGGGACCTCCAGATGGCTTCTCCGCCACCCTGGAAGGCATGCGGAGGTTCCCCACCACCACCGATAGTGCTTCGGAGGCACTATTGGCGGTGGGGGGATCTCCGAGATGCCTCCCATGGCGGCGGAAAAGCCCTGGAAGGCATCCGGAGGCAGATCCACGCCCTACAGACTGGAAGGGAGAGGCGGGGAAAGCACCAAATTTGAATTTGGTGCTTTTCTTGCCTCCCTCTTCTGGTCCGTAGATCAATTCTCCAGCGCAAGTCGAAGTAAAACTTTGCAGCCGGAGAAGTACATACGTCGAAAAGTACGTAAGTGGAGCCATTCGTAAGTTGAGACTCCACTGTAGTGGGGGAAAGGAAGAATAGCATCCAGGCAGGCAGCCTTAGTTTCTCTTAGGACTGGAGAGAGGGATATTCTTGGGAGGATTCAATAAGAATTTTTGGGAGCAGGAGGTACTTGCTAATTTTTATTATACTCTTAATTGATGATTTCAATTAAGGCTCAACTACGCTGTGTTCTTGGCCCACTGTTGTTTTATTATTTCTGGTAGAGACAACTAAGTCTACCTTAGCTATTCATGGTGGGACTTTTGTCTCCTCTTCATATTTCTTTCCCATCAATCTTTCTAACCTGACATACTGGTTCTATGTGTGTTCTATCATGGAGTTCTGACCCAGTGAAGATTTATTCACTAGATATTTATTTACTACGTTGATATTACTTCTTCTTCCAATGAGTGTAAGGCATTGTACCTGGCCCTGTTCCCTACTCTACCTACTTCATCCTCACAATGGCCCTGTGAGGTAGGTCAGTCTGAAGCAGTGGAACTAACCAAAAGTCAGCCAGCAAGTTTCATGGTGAAGTGAGGATTTGAATCCAGGTGTCCCAAGTTTTTGTGCAACACTCTGCTGGAGAGGGGCTTTTGACATCATTATTAGTAGCTAATGGTTAGAAGGGAATGGCAGATCTCCCTAACAAATATATTTATTAGTCATCTTCATATCATTAGATCAGTGGTTCTTAACCTTTTTGAAAGAAACGCCCCCTTGAGCCATTGAGGAAGTTATCATCGCCCCCCTCCCTGAGGTGATATCTTACCTACCTACCTACCTACCTACCTACCTACCTACCTACCTACCTACCTACCTACCTACCTACCTACCTACCTACCTACCTACCTACCTACCTACCTACCTACCTACCTACCTACCTACCTACCTACCTACCTACCTACCTACCTACCTACCTACCTACCTACCTACCTACCTACCTACCTACCTACCTACCTACCTACCTACCTACCTACCTACCTACCTACCTACCTACCTACCTACCTACCTACCTACCTACCTACCTACCTACCTACCTACCTACCTAGTCTCCCTCCCCACCCGGGTGCGAGGCAGCGCTTCACGGGGCGAGGACGTGAACCCAAGAGACCCTTTCCTTCTACCCGATCCACACTACCGCCCCCCTGAAAAATGAAAGCGCCCCCTGGGGGGCATTATTGCCCACGTTAAGAACCACTGCATTAGATGATCCAGCATGTACCTGATTATACATGGTGTCAAGTCATACTTCCTTCTGGCTGTCCTGCCACTTTCAATGGATTGGTAGCATGGAAACTGGCACCTCAGTTCTAATCATCTTTGAGAAAAATGATTCTGTCTGGGTGCAAAGAGAATTTTTGATAAAAAGGAACAAAAACGTTTGACACAAAACATAACTGGATGGCCAATTTGATTGCAGGATATTTTATTTAGCTAATGTGATCCAATTAAGGAAAGTCAAAGCATTGTCAGGTATATTGTTCAAAGCCCTTCTTTTCTATGTGGCAACATTAAAGTTACAGGTCTATCTCCACCAGCTGCCTGTGCAGTTTATAATCCAAATGTCAATGAGGTGGTGGATAAGAGGGATTACTTTTAGAGGTTAATAAATGGGTAGGAGAAAAGTCTTTTGTGATGCTTAAGCACGTGCTGAGTCCTAGCAGTGTGAATTTTTTAGGACAAATTGTCACCAACAAACTGGAAGTGGTATTCAGAACTGGCCTCTGGTTAATTACATGCCTGTAAATGTGGGATGGGGGGGTTGGCTTTTTGCCAGGAACATACAGTGTTACTGGGAATTTTAGAGCAAAATTATCTCCCTTCTTCTAATAGCCACATTTTATGTTTCTTAGCTTGGACTCACTCAGTCTAGCTTCAGTTGTGAGAATGTATGGAAGGAATAAGCTTGCCATTTCATATTCATGATGCCCAGCATGTTTGAATATTGATTTTGTAGAACAATCAGTTTTCCATTTGCAGTTGGAGCAGCTCAGAATTCCTTGAAGGGTATTATCTTTTAGGAAATCTTTTGTGTCTTTTAAAAGCAGCTAAAGGGACATGGTGGCGCTGTGGGCTAAACTCTGTGCTGCAGGGTCAGAAGACTACTACTGTAGTCGTAAGATCGAATCCTCGCGACGGAGTGAGCTCCTGTTGCTTTGTCCCAGCTCCTTGCCAACCTAGCAGTTCGAAAGCATGTAAATGCAAGTAGATAAATAGGTACTACTACGGTGGGGAGGTAAAACGGTGCTCCCTAGTCATGCTGGCCACGTGACAACAGAAACTGTATTTGGACAAGCGCTGGCTCTACGGCTTGAAAAACGGGATGAGCCCCGCCCCCTAGAGTCGGACACGACTGGACTAAAAATGTCAAGGGGAACCTTTACCTTTTAAAGGTAGGCTACTGAGAATCTTACTAGTAAGAGTATTTTTTGTAAAGAAAATTCTAACTGGCAGTAGTGAGAGTAGATTTACTATAGAGGCAGGCAGAAAGAAGATTGGGGTGGGGGAATGCTTGGTAATCTATTTCTCAATTTCTGGAACATGAACTATTCTACGTATAACCCATGCTGGAGCTTCCACTTACAACAGCCGAATAAAAAAATATTTTCATTCTTTAACATTTTCGGCTCAGTGAATGTTACATTTCTGAAAGCTGAAAAGGCGAGGCAAATCCTATTAAAGAAGTATCCAGCTGCCAGCTTTCTGTGGTGTCATCTGAACACACTGGAGCATACAGTATATGGAAGAGCTTGAGTGAAAAGCTGGCATTTCATCACTCCAAAATCAAGCACTTGCTTGCCTGCAAAAGGCCTAGGGTTTAACCTCTAGGATCTCCTACTGAATTGAGATTAGGCAGCCTTTGCCCTACAGATTTCTCCCATAATCTGCTAATATTGGCAATGCCACCTGGGGCTGCTGTGAGTTGAAATCCAAAACATCTGGAAAGCCAGAGCTTTCTCACTCTTGTGTTAAATGGACCAGGGTCAGGAGCGAATGACAAGAAAGACCTTGGCCTAATGCCCTGAAGACCCAATAAGAATAAGCAACCCTGGGCTAAGTGGACCAACATTCTCTTCTAAAACAAGGCAGCTTCCTCTAAATGCTGCAGTGTGCATACTAGTCATCAGCTAAACAGGTTGGGATGGATTGGAGAAGGGGATCCTGCCCTGCAGCTCTCTGTTGTGGTCTGAAGCAGCGAAATAGCACTTCTACCTCCATCAAACAGAACTGCTTTGGAATGGTTTAAAAACAGTTTAAGATTGATTTGCATGAGCACCTGCAATTAATTCACCATGGGTCCACATGGTGAACACAATCAGTGAAGAGGCACACCTGTAACCGTGTACTAGGTCTGTGACAGGTATTTGCATACTATCTCTTTAAATGTTGTAGTGTTCATTCTGGAGAAGACATCCCTCTTATTCCTGGTCATGGCCTATAAACATTTTGTGTTGTCTGAGGCATAGAGCAAAGCAGTGCCTCCTCCCAGTTCATGTACACAATCTGGTTGGGCTGATGGTTAACTCCTTCTTCAGTGTGGGTGGTGGGACACTCTTTCCTACGGCACCTAAGAACAACAAACTAGTGCATGGGGTCTTCCAGCACTTAGCTGGCCCCTCCCAACATCTGTCACCTGAAGCACCTGCCTTTCTTGGCCAGTGTTCAGGCCAGCCCTCACATGTTACAAGCACATACTGTATTACCTTTTTTTACAATGTGTCTGCTTTGATGTGAGATAGGTACTGGGTTTTTCTTTATGATGTGTAGATTGAGTGAGCATACTATGGGTTTCAGTTCTCTCGCATGTGTTTTTGTACAGAGGAGAGAAATAAGTGCAACTGGCTTAAAACCATAGGGTAGAAAGAGATGCAGGCTAAATATTTTTCTTGGATCGTCTCCTGCATTTGAGAAAAGATTTTGAGGACCAGCAAATATGAGTAAAGTGGGCCAAATGAACAGCTGAATTTATTTTGGGAACAAATAAAGGATCCAAGTGAAGAACTATCAACTCAGGCTGAATTACATAGCTTTGGCCTGGCGTAGAGTATACCTATTTCAGAAACCCTTCTGGGCGATGAATAAATAAATAAATAAATAAATATCAACTCAGTCTGAATTACATAGCTTTGGCCTGGCGTAGAGTATACCTATTTCAGAAACCCTTCTGGGCGATGAGTAGTCTGCATAATTGAATTGTAAACCACCGAAAGAGTGCTTTAAGTGCTATGGTGTGGTATAGAAGGGTTTTTTTTTTGTTGTTGTTTTTTGCTGTGATTGCTGCCAGGAAAAGTACTTTCCATGAAAGTTGTTTCAAGGACACCTTTCTGAGAGATGTTCTTGTTCATAGTAGTCAGTTTTTTTTGTTCCTGGGAGAGTTGGCTGCTCTTGCTCATGCTGACTGTGCTGCTGACTGAGAGAGTATATCTATACTACCTAGTTATAGCAGTAGACGTTTGTTATCATTTTGACTGCCACGGCTCCATCTCATGGGATCCTGGGATTTATAGTTTGGAGAGATACTTACAATTCTGTGCTACAGCAGAGCACTAGACCGACAGTACTAGAGCTCTCTAGTGGAGAATTCTAAGTGCTTTGCCAAACTATACACATTATAGGAATCAATAAGATGGAGACAGTTAAATTAATACAGTACTGTACTTGTGTAGTGCAGGTATACCCAGACCAATGGAAATGATGCATGCCTCTTGTGTGTTTCCTCCCACTGTGGTGCAACTATACTCTGATTGTACAGACCAATTTGCAGCATCTGTAGTGATCCTGGATCTCTTGTCCTTCCTCCTTTATTCTGTGCTGCAAGATCCAATAATTAATTGGAATGCTATTGCATAGTGTAGAAAGTTGCATTAGATTAGGCCCTCTGAATCAGTGAAACCTATAGAGGACTTGGTTCACCAAGTCACCACTTATTAAATGGACTTATTCTAGTGTGAATTATTGTGCTGTGCATGTCATGATCAGTTATTTAAGAATGCATTAGGAAATGTGGCTTACAGCTTCCTTTAATTGCTTTCTGGATTTTTTTTTTCATTGTTCCTTAAGAAACCATGTCCCTTGTGTGATGAAGCCAAAGCAATACTGGAACCATACAAACATAAGGTTTGTATTAAGATAACAAACATAACATGGTTAATATACTTATTTGAATATGCTAATTAACATGAAAAGTTTAAATTAGCAAACCAGGGATCCCTTGCTTGGGAGAACAAATCTCATTTTGATATTAGCAAATCAGGAATTCCTTCTCTTGAGTAAGTTTCCATAAAAGAAACCCTCAGAAAGGATGTTCAGGATATGACTGAACTGAAACCACACTTTGGCTATACCAACATAAGAAGTCATTGAAATATTTTTTATATATCCAGAAATCCCTCCTACCTGGCATTCTGCCTTTGGCTGAATACTCTTACTGTCATTAAAGTTGCCAGCTGGAAAAATAGTAAACTAATGTTCATTAAAGTCAGTCGTTACGTTAAAACCACCAACTGTAAATGCTGATTTGAAACATTTTATTAGAGGTTGTCTTGGTTAATTTAGAGAAACATACTCAGGATGCATCATTAGTGTTTGGCTACTAGCTATTTATTTTCTCTTGTCTTGAACAGTTTATTTTACAGGAAATAGATATAACCCTTCCACATCACTCTGTCTGGTTTGAAAAGTATAAGTACGACATACCTGTCTTTCATTTGAATGGCCAATTTCTTATGAAGCATCAAGTGGACACTGAAAAACTAGAAGATCAGCTCTTGAAACTAGAGATGCAGGATGATGGCGGCAGGTGAATTAAAAGGAAGCTACTCAGTGGTGGACTGGGAAAGAATGTCTAGAGATAGCATGGTTTTATATTCTGCCTTACAAATAAAGCCATATTTACTGTGTGAACTTTTCGAAATACAATTCCCATCAAACCTCGGATTCCACAGTGTCTTCTGCTCACCTTCCTGTCTTATTTCCAAGGACAGCATTTCTTACCTGGCAGTAAGTCCCATTTAATTCAGTGGGGTTTACTTCAAAATAGGCAGGCACTGGATACCATTGTTGATCATTTGTTAATACACAAAAAGGGCTGTTTCTCACTGGCCGATGTGCCTTCATATTAACATGCTCTTCACTGATGTTAGAGAAAAGGGATAATAGCTATGTGCTCATAGGTGCTTGTTGTTGTTGTTGTTGTTTAGTCATTTAGTCATGTCCGACTCTTCGTGACCCCATGGACCAGAGCACACCAGGCCGTCCTGTCTTCCACTGCCTCCCGGAGCTGGGCCAAATTCATGTTGGTCGCTTATAGGTGCTTAATAATGGTCTTTTTCATACCCCAAATGTAGACAAATCGCAGATTGGGGTGAATAGTTCGAGCATGTTTACGGGCCAGTTTTGCCTCCCACCTAATCCCATGATGCATTCAGCTACACTGTACCATGGACATTCAGCATCCAGTAGCAAACTGAAGTGGGTTTCTTCCCATTTCTGGTTGTGAAGAAACATTTCAACAACTATTTGAGGCATGGAGGAAGATGTATGATTCCTGGAGGCTTTTGGTAGTGTGATTTTCCTCTAAAACAAGACAAGTTCTCTCTACAAATTGTTAAATAAGGGAAGGATTGGTATCCCATAATCATGTGGCAGGTGTTGCAAAAACAGCTGGGGGGCACATATGGCCTGCAGAGAGCTAGCAAAAATAATTTGTTCCTCATTAGTGTTTGCAAGCTACCTGTTGATTTTACTTGTTACAATCTTTAAAAAGTAGCTTGTTGTGTTACTTGTCATACTTGTCTTTACTTTTTTATTACTTTCCATGGTTTCAAGAGGGGCTTAGGATTGATAAGGAATGTCATAATAAAACTTGAAAAAGTCTTATCAAAATTCCTCTAAAAATAGCCTTACAAATAACTTCTGACAATAGCTAGAAAATATCACTCATTCCACCAGTAAAGTCACTTCTGTCCTGCTTTTTACATTGCTTCTGAAATGTGACTTTGACACCCTTGTCACAGAAAAACTAACTAATTATAGGTACCTGCCAGGATCTGCAGGCCATATGTTGCCTGCTCCTCTGCTAAGAAGAAATACTTGAGTAAAGGCATTTGCTTGGAGGCATTATAGCATTTTAAATACTTGCCAAAAGATACAGCACTGAAATCTATGAAATCATAAGATTTTATTGGGAAAATCTGAAGTATTGAATAACTTAAATTAGATCGAAGTGTTAGTGAAACTGAATGGATATATCCATAAGATTTTATTGGGAAAATCTGAAGTACTGAGTGACTTATGCCAGTAGACAAATTAGATTGAAGTGTTAGTGAAATTGAATGGATATATGAGTTGTCCCTCAAACAAAACACCCAAATATTCTGCTCAGTGACAGGTTCCCCTTCACTTTTTACGTGTTATTGAACATTATGCAATTGTCTTGTAAGTCTACTAGCATAAGATAGTAGGGTTTGTCCTCAAGTTCAATGTGCACATACAGTTCATTGCTATGATTAGGGATGTTCATGTCCTCCTTTAAATTGTCACTGCCGGCAGGACATATACATACAGTTCATTGCTATGATTAGGGATGCTCATGTCCTTTAAATTGTCACTGCGGGCAGGACATACATGCCTCTCAAATGTTGAAGAAAGAGTATTTTAGCTTAAGGGTTTTTTCTTTAATCTGAAGAGAATAGAAGAACCAATTCATACAACTTTTCCTTATGGGAAACGGTGGATTTTGGAAAGGTGGCGTTTCTCCGTGTTTGTGCCATAGACCCTCTTGAGTGGAACACGATATATCAGTGGGACCTGTCTCAAAATAACTATCATGTGAAGTGCTCCTTTTCATGACTCCCACCAACCACACTGTCTTTTATGAAACTCCATTCCATTGTCCCTCTGCCACAGTCTGGAAATATATCTTTCTGTATCACTGTAAATATTTATCTACTTGGGACATTCTGGGAATCACACTCCAGAAAAAAAACATCAATTTTCCTGTCTCTGCGCCCTACTTCTCCATATACGAGTCAGCTTTCTGTCCTGATAGAATGTGTTCAGGTCTCACTTAGTTTGTTTTTATGCTCTCCCCTCCCCTAACAGACATTGGAGGGGGGGAGTACTTCTGCAAACTTTGAAGTTCCTCCAAACCATGTTATTACATCATACTTTGCACAAGGATAGGCACTCAGAGAATGCTCATTTTTGAGAACAGCATATGTGCAATCTAGATTCTAGATCTGGTGTGGGCAGAGCACAACCCCCCCACATGTTGAACTGCAACTCTTGCTAGCCTTAGAAAGTATGGCCAACAGCGAGGAATTATGTCATAACAATCCAGAAACATGAGGAAGGTCACAGTTTGCTGACCACTGTAAGCTTAAGACGTTAGAACTTTTCCTTGCCTTTTATTCAAATGAAAGGTGAGTAATGTGTGGTTCTCCAAATATTCTGAACTACAATGCCCATCATCCCTCATTGAAGGCTATGTTGGCTAGGGCAGATGGGAATTTCAATCCAACAACATTAGAGGGCCACATGATCTCCATTCTTAGCCTAAAGGCTCTCTGAGCTACCTTCCAACTCTGTGATTGTTCTTTGCACATGCTTCCATTAGAAGACTCTACAGTGCATCATTAAATATCTTTATGCATAGCTGCCATGAAGTAGGGACCCTGCATCAACCTTGTGTGACAGTCCCTGAGGTGATTTGTTTTATTCCCATGAAAATGCAGACACAATGAGTTAAGAGGTTCTCATAATCAGACTAAGTGCACTTACTGTGAATAAAAGATTGAGGGATGCTGCACACAGTGGCATTCAAGCTGGGCACCCCAGTTAACTCAGTCTGATAAAAGGATTTTTGTAATCTCTCTTCTGAAGGGAACTGCTTGCAGAAGTCTGTTTTCCCAGCAAACTCAAGAGTATTTTAAAGGGATAATTAGTCATCAATCCTGAAAAATTAAATATTTCAGGAGCCAGCTTAGTTGTTAGTTCTCTGTAAAGATCTTGGCAAAGACAGAATCTTGGTAAAGGGAAATTAATATTCCCTTTACGTCCCTTCTCTCCCTTGCTTTTCAAGTCCTTCCCTCTCATTCATCCCAACTCTTTGATAGTTCTGGTTGCTTTGATTTGCAATTTGTGTTCTTTTTATTTGGCACTTTGAACAACTAAAGGATATTAAAGTTATAAACTCATTCATCTTCATAACTGTCCCATGCTGTGAGTGAGGTTTTAACCACCCACCCACCCATACCCATATAAACCAATGTAGGCTGTCGTCCAAAGCACAATTGTGTAAGAGAAAGATGAACATTGCTGTGATTGTCCTGATCCAGACATTTGTTCAGCAGTGACCTGTGTGCATACTGCTGATCCTAGAACTGGCCCGAGAGGATTGGTATTCAATCTAAAGAGGCCACAATGTATACTTGACATTATACATCACTCCAAACCAACTGTTTGGGTCCTGGTTTTTCGGGTTTGTTTTTTTTAACCGTTTCACATACCCTGTTTCACAAGACGGTTCCCCCCTCCCCATTGGAACACACATTAATTACATAAAACCTACTTTTTATCCCAAAAAAGTGGGGGAGAAAGTGTATGCTGCTGGCTTTCTAAGGTCTGCCTCCTGGAAAAATAGCAACATATACTTTCTCCCCCACTTTTTTAGTATAAAAAAAGTAGGTCTTATATAATTAATGTGCTTAAATGGGGGGGAAACCATCTTGCAAAGCACTGCCAATGGGGCTATGGCTGCAAATTTAAATGGTAGATAATGGTGAAAACACCCAGGGACCAAAGGGTAAAGAGACTGTAAAAAAACCAGGGAAATCACAAACACAATCCCCCATTAGCACAAATTATGCAGTTGAGTTCCCCACATTTAAGGAAACCATAGGGATCAGCAACACACCCAAAGTGCAATGGATGAGCCTCCCCCTGGGAAAACCACTTTTATGACATGGTATTTCCCCTACAAGGTATCAGCTGGTATGGCCCTTGCAACTCCTACTGCCTTTTGTCCCCTGACCCCCCCCCCAAGGCATGGTGACCCCCTGGCTGCACCTCCCACTCAGTACAGGGCTGCACAGCCCCAGTCCTGCCCTAGGCCAAGAGAGCTCCTCAATGTTTTGGGGTGCCCTGCGGGACCCCCATCAGGGGCTAGGTGTTCCTCCCACAACCCTCTAGTGCACAGGTATTAGCATATGCAGATGACACCATTTTACTGGCAGAAAGCAGCCATGATTTGAAATGGAAAATGCCAAAACAGGACTGCAGTTGGATGTTAAGAAGACCAAAATCATAATCAACCTTAACTTTGACAATGAAGAAATGATAATAATTAGAGATTTTGTATACCTTGGTTCCATCATCAACCTAAACAGAGACTGCACCAAGAATTCAGAAGAAGACTGAGACTCAGAAGCGCAGCAATGAAGGAATCAGAAAAGAAAATCAAGTGTAAGAATGTATCACTGGAGACCAAGACCATCCACATTCTTGTATTTCCAGTCACTTTTCATGGGTATTAAAGCTGAACAGTAAAGAAAGCTGACCCCAAAAATTGTTCCATTTGAAATGTGCAGGAGGAGATATTTGCAGATACCCTTGGCTGCCGGAAAGATGAACAAATAGACCCTAGAGCAAATCAAGCCTGAACTACATATCTCTAGAGGCAAAAATGTTGAAACTGAGGTTTTCCTACTTTGGGCACCTCATGAGAAGGCAGGATTCTCTGGAAAAGACAATAATGCTAGGAAAGTAGCAGTAAAAGAAGACTCGTATGAGATGGACTAATTCCCCAAAGAAAATCTCAGGCTTGAGTTTACAAGAGCTGAGCATGGCAGTTGAAGATAGGACATTTTGGAGATTGCTCCTTCATGGGGTCACCATAAGTTGAAGGTGACTTGATGGCACATAAGAACAACAATAAAGATCACTCTAGAGTTGAAATTTATAGAATTCTAGTACCCACTCCTTATTTCTGCCGCCAAGGAATTATCTCAAGGTATATCACCAAAAGACCATGTTAATTTTATATTAGTTCAGAACAGGACAAGCTTTATTACTTAAAAGCGTTGGTTGTCACAATATATCAACAGCAACATAAAACATACACAGCACTGGCATAACATATTTACACATAAATATAAGATGACATAGGTCCCCTCCTTTCTTAAGAATTTTGATGCTTGGCATGTCTTTTCCTTGCTGCCAAACCAAATTCTGCTACTTGTTAGGCAATAGTTACGACCCTACCTACAAGCAGTGTACAAAGTTGAGCCAAGGGAGGCCTATCACACAAAGGTCCAAGAATGCCAGCAAGAAATTGATTTCTGGGGTACTCATATAAAGGGCAACTTAATAGATAATGGAAAACATCTTTGACCTCTCCTGATCCACAAATACAGAATCTTTGATGAAATGGGACATTGTAATATCTCCCCTCTAAAATGGCGGATGGCATACAGTGCACTGAAAATGCAAAGCTGTGAATGCTTTTCTTGAAGGGTCTGAAACTGGATCCTGATCTGTTTCTCTCACTTTGAAGAACTGGTGTCAATAGCTATAATCCTCTTGGAGAGGTGTCCTCTTGTTTGTTTTCAAAATTTTATTAGTGTTATTAATAACATTTTCAGCATTGCAGTTCAGACAGGATAATGACTTACTGGAGAAAAACTGCCAAATATATAATTAATGGCTGAGAGCCAGGAAACTGAAACATGGTTGAATTCTTAATGTTCTGCTGCCCAGATTTCCAGTCTGAGCAGAGATGATTCTCCAGAATTCCCAAAATACTATACTGGAACTCTAAGGTCAGTGG